GGGGTTATTTGAGAACATATTTAAAAGTAACTAAGAAGATATAATATGTAAACTTATCTGTTTTGTGTGTGAAAAGAGAAAAATATATTCAAAACATTAAGGTCTACGCACTACTCGCTCAAAGCATTTACTGTCAGGAATTTAAAGTAAACCACATCCATTTTGTTTCATTATCCAATCATCAAACCAAGTCTACGCACTACTCGCTCAAAGCATTTAAAAACATTGAAGCATTTACTGTCAGGAATTTAAAGTAAACCACATCCATTTTGTTTTGAAACAAAATGCAGTTCAACAACACAAGGTGCTACAGAGACAAATGAATCAAAACATGAGCAATCATCTCATAATCATAACAAATCTCATATTCGAAGCCTAGATGACACATTTCTAAGGAATTGAGCATAATACTTGAAATCCTTCGGTTCTCCTATGCGATGGGTTGATTGAGTGAAGTCCTTGCAGTTCCTCTCTTCTCTCTTCTCTCTCTTTTTTGCCTCGTCTTCCTTTCACGCGATCCTAACGTCTGCATGTGAAGCTCGTCTAGAAGATTCGATCAACTGTGTTCGCGGACTCACTCTTGCCGGAGAAAATGGTGCGAAACTACTTTCCGGCGAGAAGCTCTTCCTCGTCTCTCAGCCTCTCTCTTCTCTTTCTTTTCTCGAATAACGGTCAATAAAGGAATGAATCAATCGTACTGCCTTCTCTCTCTTATTGTCCCCCGCACAACAAAAATGGATCATCATATAAATTTAGTTGGGCTTGATTCTATTTCAGCCCAACACCCTTAAAACTTGTCCAAGAAATTATTCATTTCAGATTTTTATATTAAAATGTTATTCTTTTGACCTCAAAATACTCTAAGTGTTCAAAAAGCAGTTTAGACACTTTTGACCTTATTTATCAGAATTATATTAATCACCAAAAACCAACATAATGCACGAAAATGGGCTATAAAAATGCATACTGTTTTGGATCCAACACAGATATCTTGCTGGGATCCACTTTGATACCTTTCAAAATCACCTGACCCAGAAATTGTTGGAGTTGGTGACCTTATGGCCAACTGCTGTTGTAATATCTTAGATATTTTCTATCATGTAGAGGCAGATGCATTAAGTTTACAAACATCTCAAGCTAATGTAAACTCTTAATTGCATTCCTAGAATTATATTATAAGATGTTTATCAGAATGAGTCTTCTGATGTTGAGACTGACATCTTGTCACTTAGTATAATTCTGAACGGTCTATAGTCGAAGCATTAACGAGAGTGGGATATGTGTTTCTTTTAAAACACAAATCGGAATGCTTTGACAAATTCTGATGTATGTGGCCCAATCAACACTGAAGCTAGAGGTGGTTTCTCATACTTTGTCACATTTACTGATGATCTCAGTCGGTATGGATATGTGTTTCTTTTAAAACACAAATCGGAATATTTTGATAAATTCAAAGAATTCAGAAACGAAGTAGAGAAACAATTAGGCAAAAGTATCAAGACACTCCGTTCAGATCGTGGAGGTGAGTACTTGAGTCTAGAGTTTGATGACTATCTACGAGAGCACAAGATTCTATCCCAGCTCACTCCTCCTGGCACACCCCAATTAAATGGAGTTTCAGAGAGGAGGAACCGAACCTTACTCGATATGGTTCGGAGTATGATGAGTCTGACGACACTGCCAGAGTCCTTTTGGGGAAAAGAACTATTAACAGCAGCACACACACTCAATCGCGTACCATATAAGGCTGTTGAGAACACACCATACGAGCTATGGCGTGGGACAAAACCGAATTTGTCATACTTGAGGATTTGGGGTTGTGATGTTTACGTTAGACGCCTCATGACGTCTGGTAAGCTAGATTCCAAATCTGACAGGTGTAAATTTGTGGGATACCCTAAGGAAACGAAAGGGTATGAGTTCTATCATCCGACCGATAACAAAATCTTTGTTGCTCGGAACGGAACCTTCCTTGAGAAGGAGTTTCTCTCTGCTATTTCTAGTGGGAGAAAGGTAGACCTCGAAGAAATTCGAGAACCACAA